GTACTTTTTTTGCAATTTTTATTTTTATTTTTATTTTTTTTATTTTTTGGGAAATTGTAATGAAGAATGGGGATTGAATTAATTAGATAGACGGAGAAATAGTTATTGAGAGACGAGAGAGAATATTGTTAGGCATGAATGGTGTGGACGAGCGACTCGGTCAAGTGAAAAGTGCCGTCATAATTAGGGCAATAAAATGCGTAAGTCAAGCTCAACAGGTAGCCCGGTCAGGCCAAAATACCAGGTGAAAAATGCCGCCATAATTAGTGCAATAAAATGCATAACTCGGGCTCAACAGGTAGCCCAGCCAGACCAAAACCACCGAGTCCTACGAGCGATTCGGTCATGTGAAAAATGCCGCCATAATTAGTGCAATAAAATGCTTAAGTCGGGTTCAACAAGCAGCCTGGTCAGGCCAAATCGTCGCCTAGCCCAACAGACGGCTCGGTCAGGCGAAAAGGCTAACATCGTAATCATTAGTATCGTAATCATTAGTGCGATAAATAGCACAAGTCAGCTCAACAAAGGGCAGTCAAGACAATATGCCAAGACAATATGCCAGATAATTAAAGGCCTGGGAGCCATAAGACGAAAGTGCCCTAAAATCAACAACCGAACTCTGAAGTAGTTCGAAAAGGCCACGAGCCCAATAAGCATCTCTCAAAACAAAAAACCGAACTCCAAAAATAGTTCGGCTCAACAAAATATGCGACAAGGTACTTTCATTTATCGTTCATTCATCACATACATTCATCATACATTCACGCATTCGTCATTCATGCATTCGTTATATGATCGCATTGTGCATACGCTCGTGCATTGCATACATAGCTCAAAGCTCAATCAAAGAAAGAGCTCAAAGTTATCGAACAATGAGCTCAAAGCTCATTCAGACAAAGAGCTCTAAGCTCACTCATGTCGACAATTCAAAATGCATTCCTACATAAAAACAGGTACCAAATTACCCGACCAAGCCGCTCAGGCCCCGTCTAGTAGCAATTCAGAAAAAAAGGTAGTTCACTCAAACTGACTCAACTCGTCAAAGAACAAAGTGTGATTATTATAAATACGTCAGGACAATGCCGAAAATGATCAACAAAGCGCTCAAGGATACCAAAGCACCCTAAAATTACATATTAACTCGTAACAAAATCAGAGTTTTAAAACACATCAACGTGACTTCCACGAGAGGAAATAATGAGCAGAAAACGACAAAACGACGAGGCACGAAAAGTGAAAAGCCGCGCGTGAGATCCATTTGAGGAAAACTAACCAGATATAAAATGATCTTATGATTCACACCAAAATTATGTGCCACGCGTACTCATCAACATATTTGCGATTTTGCCAATAATTCTCGTTGCGTAAATATTCTTATGTAAATATAAGGTGTTCAAAGCTCAAAGAATCACGAGGCGAAAACATTGCCAAATTCTGAGAAGTAAAGCGACTTCAGAACAGTTCAATCCATAACATGTCCTAAACTCGGGGGCCTCTTGTTGATATTCAATTTGGCTCTGATTAATTAAATGATAAACAAAATAATAAAATACGGCCCGATAACCAAGGAAATGAAAATACGAAATAAATAAATATACAAATAGGTTCTCGAGTCTGATTACCCAAAAGCCGATCGGGTCCCCAGATGTTGAGTCCGCCTGTTACCGAGCCGAACGGAATTCAACGTAATCCAACGGTGCAAATATCATGAAGAAGCCGCCTGCCGTAAACGCCACAATTGTCGAGAAGACTGACGTCAATGAGAACCATCAAAAGTCATAAGCGGGCCCTCGACGGTTATCTCACATTAAATAATAGTGTACTATTTTTTATTTATTTAATAGCCCATTTGCAATGAAAATAGTGGGACATGTATATATATGTAGAAGGAGAGAGAAGGAATGATTCACGTTTCTTCCTCCCCACATCTCCAAAAGAGAGAAAAAAGACTCCCAAAATAAGAAATAAAGCCTCATTTTAATTATCTTGTTCTTCATTTTTATACAAGAAGTTCAACATATATTCAACAGTTGATCGTTCGATTTTCGACATCAACAACCCTTATAATCAAGAAGATATGGAGAATTATAATCAAGCGAAATATGTTGGTAAGTAATTGTAATGCCCCGTTTATTTGTAAAATATTTGAGAATTATTTAAATTAATAATGCTATTATTATTATTATTATTATTATTAT